GTCCACACATCGCTTATAGAGGTGCGCGGCTTGAAACGGTGATGATGATGGAAATAGGTAGGACCAATGTGTACACCAACCAAGGAGAACGAAGATGACAGCTGGGGCACAGCCTGGGGCAAGCAGGGACAGTGAGGGTCAGGGCCTTTGTTCAGGGAAGGGGCTGTGAGCAATTTAAAAACTGTTCATCATCATTTCGATAGTATAATGCCACCCATGATGTTTCTTTAGTTTAAAAAAAAAAAATGACAGGCCAGGCGGGGTGGCTCACGCCTGTAATCCCAGCACTTTGGGGAGCCGAGGCGGGCAGATCACGAGGTCAGGAGATGGAGACCATCCTGGCTAACATGGTGAAACCCCGTCTTCTTACTAAATACAAAAACTTAGCCGGGTGGGTGGCAGTGCCTGTAGTCCCAGCTATTCAGGAGGCTGAGGCAGGGAGAATGGTGTGAACCCGGAGGCAGAGCTTGCAGTGAGCCGAGATTGCACCACTGCACTCCAGCCTGGGCAACAGAGCGAGACTCTGTCTCAAAAAAAACAAAAAAAAAAAAAACCACAGTCGCATCCCATGCTGACGCCACACTGGGTCAGTGCAGAGTGCAGACTTCCAATTGGTTCATTCATGGTTCTTCAGTTTTCCGATGAACCATATGAAGTTGCCATTTTTAAATTCAAAATATGGCTGAATATCAGCAATGTTGTATTAGTCAGCTCGGCGACTATTTCGACTGTTGCCCTAAATGCAGGAAGTACTTGAGAACTTACTACGGGCCCAGCCAATGGCGATACATTCCCGGCTCCAAGGAACTGACTGGAAAACTCAAGAGACAAGTAGGAGCGCAGAGCTCCTGGAGCCTCCATGGCTGACTGTCTCCCTCTCTCTCTCTCTCTGACCCCTCCAGGCGCTGATCCTTCACCAGCTGGGCCGCTACAGTCTGGCAGAGAAGATTCTCCGGGACGCGGTGCAGGTGAACTCGACAGCCCACGAGGTCTGGAACGGGCTGGGCGAGGTCCTCCAAGCTCAGGGCAACGACGCGGCGGCCACGAGGCTGCTTCCTGACAGCCTTGGAGCTGGAGGCCAGCAGCCCCGCCGTGCCCTTCACCATCATCCCCCGCGTGCTCTGAGCAGGCGCCTGCCAGCCTCACCTGCCGCTCAGGCCTCAGAGGCCCTACCGGGCACCAGGGCTTGTCCCATCGCCCCCAGGGGATGAATCTGCCACACTGAGGCCAGGGACGAGCGTTCAGTGGGCCACAGTGAACCAACCAAACCAAGCCCGAATCATTGCTCTGCCGCGTGCGTTTCTCTTGTTGTTTTTTGCCAGCCCAATGATAGTTTCTGAACCTATTGACATTGTTCAAAATGGATCATGTGCCATATTTTGTTAGTCGACATCTGAGTTTTAAGTAAAATGATTATGGAATTAATCAGCAAATGTAGAAGAATATATTCAAAGTTAAAATTCAGTGGCAGAACAGATTATTTTTATCAGAGCTGTAAAGAAAACAACTGTCCTCTTCTCCCCACCACCCCTCCTGCCCCACCTTGGCCCAGAAACCAAATGTGAACTTCCTGTTTCCCACCTCAGCGCTAGTCCATGCCGGGAACCAGCTGACAATTTCTTGGTTTTACTGTCAATAATTATACCATGTGATCAATGACTGTCCTCACTTAGAACAAAGCCTGAGTCCAAGAATATTTATATTTTACCAATATATGCCTGTTACAAGAGAAGGAAATATGAGTTATTTAAGTTTAACTTTTTTATGTGAATTCAGAGTTTATTTATCGAGGGAAATATGTACAAAGAAGCTTCAAATGGAATATTTACTGACATTCCTTATACATGACAGACACTTGGCTACATGGGAAGATGATGTTAATAATAAAATGATTTTTAAATGGACTCATAGCCTGTGTCATTCGTAAAAGCTCAAAGACCTGAGAAAGGCTTAGTTCCTGGGTTGGGGAGCTGTCTGTACCTGGGGGCCCACTCTGGACGTGTCAGCCCTTGACACTAGAAGGCCCAGCCTCTCTTTCCCCACTTATTTTATTTTTATTTTTTGGAGACAGGGTCTCACTCTGTTGCCCAGGCTGGAGTGCAGTGGTGCGATCACAGTTCACTGCAGCCTCGACTTTCCAGGTTCAGGTGATCCTCCCCTCTCAGCCTCCTGAGTAGCTGGGACCACAGGCACACACTACCATGCCCGGCTAATTTTTGTTTGTTTTTGTAGAGATAGGGTCTCACTATGTTACCCAGGCTGGTCCTGAACTCCTGGACTCAAGCAGTCCTCCCGCCTCAGCCTCCGAAAGTGCTGGTGTGAGCCACCATGCCCGGCCATCTCCTCACTTATAATTTGAAGATGATCCTTAGGTAGGAACGTGTTTCCTGAGTCCTTGGCACCCAGGCTTCGTTTTTGCAGCAACAGCCCTGGGTTTGGTTTGGGAATTCTCCTTAGCTCTCCCCTGATGGGGCTTTGGAATGGAGCATGCAGTTCAGGCCTGCCCAAGCAGCCTCCTGCACTCATGGGCCACAGAGGGTCAGGAGTGAGCATGTGACCTAAAGCGGTCCAGTCAGAGCGGGAGCCGCAGGGAAAGCTGTCGCTCTTTCCTGCTGCCTTTCAAGGGGAGAGGTGAGGCTGGAACTGCAGCAGCACTCTTGCCACCATGAGAAGAAGGTGTAGAGGTGTTGTTTGAGCCAAAGTCCAAATCCCACAGAGTAGACAGCAAGACCAGCAACCAGAGAGAAAGTGAGCAGGTATCTGCAGGCCCTCGGGGGCAGCTGGAGGGTGGCCCCACCTTTCAAGGACCCAGGGAAATATGGAGGGCTGAGCTCTGATCTTAGGTGCCCTGAAGCCTAGAGGACTGCATTCAAACTGGGCACAACCCGCCTGGCTCAGTGAGGCAGGTGGGCTAGGGGGCAGCCAAGGAGGGAGAGACGGTAAGTGGGAGCCCCAGCCTCAGCACTGACCCTGCCAGGCAGCACTTGTGGCTTTGAGTGGCCATAAGTCATGGGATTTGCATTGTAGGACCTGGGGCAGGTGCTCAGTGTGGTGGCAGCTTGCCCTGATTGGAGGCACAGGGCTGGGCACTGCCATCCCATGCAGGAGTGTGGGGCAAGGCCCACTGGATCAGGACTAGGAAGGGAGGAGGCTGGGCCACTGAGGCAGATGGTGCAGGCGCCGTACCAGACTTTGTCCGCCAGGCCCTCACCTCAAAGACTCCTGTGCATATCAGCCCTATAGGGCGCTGGGGCTGTCACCTCTCCATTGTCTTCATCTCCCTCGGGAGAACCACCCCTACTCTCCACCCACATGGCTGAAGGATGGACACATGGGCCCAGCCTTAACAACCGGAGCCCTCCAGCTCCCCAGTGTCAGTGACTGGTTTGGGTTTGGGCATGTGACCCACGCTTGGCCAATGAGAAGCACCCCTGGGACTTTGGTAATGAAAACGTTAGAAAAAAAGCCTCTTTCTGTCCTAATAGGATGCCAATGGGGTGCTGTGGGTGCCGTTTGACATTGTATGGGGTGGCCTACCTGAGAATGATGCCAACGCAGAAAAAGAGAATGAGGAGGTGGAGAGAGCTGGGCCCAGGGTCACCGCTGGAGCACCGCAGCCCGAGATTTCTCCATCATAGGAGCCCATACGGTTTCCCATCTTGCTTAGCACAAGCACAGGGGTTTCCATCCCTTCTACCTAAAAGGTGCCTAAGAAATGCAGGAAAGTCCTGCCATCCTTGGCACTCCCCACTTAGGCACTCTTCCAGACTCCTCAGTCCCCCAACCTTAATCCCACTCACTCACCTCATATTCTGTTTTCCAGTAAATCCTGTCTTTTCTATCCAAATCACATCTCAAGTCTCTCCCATTTGCCTTCATCCCCAGCACCTTGGCCCCAGCCCCACACAGTCCAATGTCAGCAGAGCCCTCTTAGAAGGGAGGATTGGGTCGGTTCCCTCTATAAACCCCTGATGGCTTCTCAAGCTCTTGCCTGGAACTGGACTCTGTGTCCCAGCCCCCTGTGCCTGGCTGTGTCCAGCCCCCCAGCCCCCTGTGCCTGGCTGTGTGCAGCCCCTCTGTGTCCTGACCCCACTGTGCCTGGCTGTGTGCAGCCCCTCTGTGTCCCGGCCCCCTGTGCCTGGCTGTGTGCAGCCCCTCTGTGTCCCGGCCCCCTGTGCCTGGCTGTGTGCAGCCCCTCTGTGTCCCGGCCCCCTGTGCCTGGCTGTGTGCAGCCCCTCTGTGTCCTGACCCCACTGTGCCTGGCTGTGTGCAGCCCCTCTGTGTCCTGACCCCACTGTGCCTGGCTGTGTGCAGCCCCTCTGTGTCCCGGCCCCCTGTGCCTGGCTGTGTGCAGCCCCTCTGTGTCCCAGCCCCCTGTGCCTGGCTGTGTGCAGCCCCTCTGTGTCCCGGCCCCCTGTGCCTGGCTGTGTGCAGCCCCTCTGTGTCCCAGCCCCCTGTGCCTGGCTGTGTGCAGCCCCACTGTGTCCTGGCCCCACTGTGCCTGGCTGCCTCTCCTTCCCCAAGCCCTCTCGCGGCTCTGGCCTTCTTCCTAGTCTTCTGACCTGCTGAGCCTTTCCCAACTAAGGACGTTCATCCATCCATCCATCCATTAACAGATGAGGACACAGACGCTAGACGCCAAGAGGGCAGGACACCTGCCTGGGGTCATCATGGAATGACCTGGCAGGACTGAGATTGAGGCAGGCCTGAGGGATAAACCTTTCGAAAGTGCCCAGGTCTGCCCAGTGGAGGCGTTTTTGGACAGTGAGATGCGGGCGATGCCTCGTTTGATTCCAGGACTAGTGCTGACCCTAACTTAGGCAAGGGGTTCCTGTTCCCTGGTCTTAGTCTCCCCCTCTGTAAAATTTCATTCATTCATTCACTCATTCATTCATCCAACAAATATCTATAGAATGCTCACAACATGCCAGATGCTTAGTCCAGGCACTGAGGGCACAGCAATGCGTGACACAGATGCCGCATCCACTTAGGACCTACCTTCTGGTAGAAGGAAAGAGGCAGATGAGGAATATGGCAGGTGGGGTGACGCATGGAGAAAGATGAAGCCAGGGAAGGGGTGTAGGGAGTGGCAGGGCTGCCCTTTAGAGGGTGACTAGGGATGGTACATCTGGCTGAAGAAAGGCAGGTAATCTGGGAGGAGGACATCTCAGGGAGCAGGAACAGCAGGTGCAAAGGCCCAGAGGGGAGGGGGACGGTCAGGTGGTGAAGGACGAGAAGAGGTCAGAAGTTTAACAGGGGCCACACAGGGTGAGGCCTCGTGGACCATGCTAACGGTATATATTCATTACCTGTGGTTGCAGCAAATTACCATGAACTGTCTGGGCATGGTGGCTCCTGCCTGTAATCCCAGCACTTTAGGAGGCCGAGCCAGGAGAATCAGCTGAGCCCAGGAGTTCAAGACCAGCCTGGGCAACATGGTGAGACCCCTATCTCTACAAAAAAAAATCTATCTATCTATCTATCTATCTATCTATCTATCTATCTATATCTCCAGGTTTGGTGGCATGCACCTGTAGTCCCAGCTGCTTGGGGGGCTGAGATGGGCTGATTGCCTGAGCCCAGGAGGTTGAGGCTGCAGTGAGTGGTCACGCCACTGCAGTCCAGCCTGCATGAGAGAGCAAGACCCTGTCTCTACAAATAAAATAAATTTTTAAATTTTAAATGACTGCAAACTTAGTGTCTTAACACAAATTTATTCTCTTTGTTTTGGAGGTCAGAAGTCACAAATCAAGGTTTCAGTGGGGCTGTGTTCCTTCCCCAGGCTCTGGAGGAGGACGGGCATCCCTGTCTTCTCCAGCAGCTAGAAGCTTCCTGTGGCCTTGGCTCGTGGCCGCCTTACATTGCCTTTCCTTCCTCTGTTCCATCACTGCGTCACCTTCTGCCTTTGACCTCCTGCCTCCCTCTAAGGACTCTGCTGGTTACACTGGGCTCCCTGGACAGTCCAGGGCCATTGCCCCACCTCAAGAGCCTTCGTTCAGTCACAACTGCATGGCCCCATCTGTCGTGGAAGGCAACAATAGTCACAGGTTCCAGGACTCAGGATGTGGACGTCTTTGGGGGTTAGGGGGAGCACATTATTCTGCAGGCCACAGCGTGGGAGCTGGGAGGCTGTCAGGCTCCTGCCGTCACACAGCGACCATGGTGCTTAGACCAAGGGGCGTGGAGGAAGTGGCGAGAGGTACTGGACTGTGAAGATTCTGAAGACAGAGCCAAGAGGGTTTGCTCACACATGGAGCTGGGTGTGAGGGAGGGGAGATGCCAGGGATGAGGGTGGGGGTCTTGTCCTGAGCTACAGGAAGGATGGCACTGACCGCCAGGAGGCAGGGGAATAGGTTGGGGAGGAGAGGGGAAGGCAGGAGTCTGCTTTCAGGCAGGTTGAATACAGAATGCCTGTGGAGCCTCTGAGGAGGAGGCAGCTGGCTGGGCTGAGATGAGGCGAGAGTGTGGGAGGTGTCAGGGATGTGGGGCTGGGAGCCATGGGCCTGACGGGGCCACCTCGGGACAAGCATAGACAAAGAGGAAGAGGTCAGGGCTGAGCTCCGGGGCTGGCGGGGTTTACAGGCTGGGAAATGAAGAGATCAGGAAAGAAGGCGCAGGAGCAGCTGCGAGGGAGGCGGAGAACAGGCAGGGTGAGCTTCCTGGAGGAGGTGGGTGGGCTCTCTCAATGTCCGGAGACCCCAGCAGGGCGGCGTGAGAGCTGACCGTGGGCCTGGCAGTGTGCAGGTTGGCAGTGACCTTGACCAGAGCCATGCTGGGGATGGAATTTTGCTCCCCCAGATTCATAGGGTGGAACCCCCGCCCCAGTGTGACTGTATTTGGAGATAGGCCCCTTAAGGAGGTAATTCGGGTGAAGTGAGGTCATCGGGAAGGGCCCCGGCCCAGTAGGATTGACGTCCTCACCAGAAGAGACTCCAAAGTGCAAATGAGCTCACGCTCAGCCACGCCAGGACACATGGAGAAGGCAGCCACCCGCAAGCCAGGAGGGAGCCTCGCAGGAACCCAGATGGGCTGGAACCTTTGCTTTGTTCTTTGAGCCTCCGTGATCGTGAGAAATTAAGTTCATTGTTGAAGCCACCTGTCTGTGGCGGTTTCCTTACTGCAGCCCAAGCCATATTAGGTGGGGTCAAGCCAGGTTGGAGTGGGCGCAAGGGGGAGGAAAAGGTAAAGTCTCTTTCAAGAGCGTAGCTGCGGAGGGGAGCTGAGAGCGCTGGGTGGGAGGCCGGTGGGGAAGGTGCTATATTGAGGGCGGGCCTCGCTGAGCACCTTGTATTTGCAGCGGGGCAGGTGTGAGGAGGGAGAGAGGGAAGCTGAGGGGGCTGCCTTGGCTGGGGGCCTGGTGGTTCTGCAGAGCAGCAGCAGGGAGGCAGAGGCCTGGGTACCCCCAAGCCAGGGAGCCCTGGGGAAGGAGCACCCACTCCTCGTTGAGCAGGGAGCCAACTTCGGGCAGGGTGGGGTGGCGAATGGACCAGGAAGGGAAGGAGGAGACGGAGGAGGGAGCAGGCCCTTCTGTGAAGGAGCTGCCTCACCCAGCCGAGAGGATCTCAGGACAGAGCCAGGCTGGGGGCCTGGGCAGGTATGGCCGGGGCAGGCCACTTCCCATCCCCAGCCCCATTTAGGATCCATGGGCTCATCTGTCTGTCCCTCTGCCTCCTTCCAGGTCCTGGGCCCTGGGCTGTGGCCAGGGCTCTGCTCACCCTCAGGGCTGGGTGGGGACCTCTCCAGGTGGGGAAGGGATGGAACCAAGGCCTCCCATTATCCTCTGTGCCCCCTACGTGTTGTCATGGGCTGGGGGAAGGTGCACGCTCGTGCACAGGTGGGCATGTCTGTGATCGCATGGAGCAACCCCAGACTCCTCCAGATGGTCCCATGCATCGCCCCGGCGGCCACATGGTCATCATTGCAGGCCCAGACCATCTGCCTGCAGGAAGTGCCCCCTTTGCCGGGCACCCTCCCCATCATCCTTGGAGTTCTCCACCTCTGTCCTGTCCATGCTGGGCCTGTCAACAGCCTGTCACCTGCTGCCCCAGCCCCAGCCCCAGCCCAGGTCCCTGCAGCACAACCAGCTCCAGGCTGGAATGGGTGACCCAGCCCTACTGAAGGCATTTCAGGTCAGGGTCAGCCACTCTGGCCACTGTCTCCCTCCAATGCCCCCGTACCCTCCCAGTGCTCGGCCCCTGCCATTCGGCCCCCTCTCTCCGTATCTCCACCTTTTCATTCCTGCTCCTCCCCAGCCACCTCTCAAGGCTGACAGGGTGGGCATTGCCCAGTGTGGGGACATCACTCCTATTGAAGTTCCGTAAACAGTGCCTTGGGCACTGGGCCAGGTGGCTGCTCCTATCCCTCCCCTGGCCTCTGCCTGCTCCAGAAGCAGCCACACACTTGACCACAAACCTTTGAGGCCTGGCCAGAGTCCTCTGGGGGAGGCGGGCAGTAGCAGCCGCACTGGGCCTGAGGACCCCACACAGGAAAATGGGCCGAGCCCCAGGGCTGAGCCTCAGGGCTGCGGCCGCTCCCGCCACCAGCCTTCCTCCCACACTCGTGGTCACGCATTTCCTGCTGCCCCTGCCCACGCTGCGTCCGGATAGAAACAGAAAAAGGACATCCTGCACCATTTCAGACAGGCATATGCTCCTCCTGAAGGTCTTTTGGGGGCCAGGCTGAGGCCCTCCCTCAAGGTCACGCCCTAGGGGACCCACTCCAGCTCTGCACCTGCCAGAGGTGATCCTCACTGTGCCACTGTCCCTCCCTGGACCCAGAATCAGATGGGGACAGTCACCCCTGCCCAGCCTGCCTTCCGGGCTGAGATGTGAGTCTGCAGGCAGCTTTCAGGGGTGGTGTATGCCCGGCAGGGGACACCAGGGCCACCGCCTCTCAGCACCACCACACAGAGCCTCAGGGCCAGGCCTGCGGGCAGGGTTCCTCCCAGGTACTCAGTCCCTGAGTGGAGCTGACTATGGGGAGGTGGCAGGAAGGTGGTGGGGGACCTTCTGCAGGTCCGCCTAGAGCCAGCAGCTCCTGCTGACCCTCTGGGCCACCCACAGCCACCACCACCCTCCTTGACTCCCTCATCTTCTGCTGTTTGGCTCTTGACCCCCTGAGGACAATAGGGATTCCTGGTGACCACTGGGCTGTGGGTCACACAGATCTGGCTGGAATCCCAGTTCTGCCTGGCCATGTCACCTCTGATGGGGAGGCACTCTGTCTCCTCATCTCTACGGAGGGGGAGTAACTTCCCTTACGGACTTTTGGGGATATTAACAGAGGTCAACCTGGACAGGGCATGGAGCCTGGACCCCGGGGTGCACCGTAAAGGCTTTCCGTCTTTCTCGCACCCTCAGGCGAGGGGTGAGTGGCTGCCGCGACGCGCTGAGGGGCCCTGAAGCAGGGGGGTGAGTGGCTGCCGCGACGTGCTGACGGGTCCCTGAAGCAGGGGGGTGAGTGGCTGCCGTGACGTGCTGACGGGTCCCTGAAGCAGGGCAGGAAGGGCAGAGCTAATGCAGCTGAGGCGGAGTCCGAGTCCCGCTCTGCATGGAGGAGGAGGTGAGGGGCCTGGTCAGCATGGGCACAACTGGGGCCCTCTGTGACCACCACCACCCTTGTCTCTGCCTCCTTGACCCCACAGGATCATCCTCAGGCCCTGGGTCCGGCCAAGGCCTGAGGAGGGTCATGCAGCCCTGTCCCGCTCGGCTCCCGTCCGCCGCTGCCTGAGTGGTGCCTGTGCCCAAGGGCTTGGACTGTGGGCCTGCTGGGCTGGAGCCTGAATCGTGGCCTGGCCACCCACTCTCCTAGGAGCCTTAGGCGAGTCACTAGTCCTCTCTGAGCCTCGGTTTCCTCATCTGTGAAATGGAGAGAACAAGACAGTTGTAAAGATTCAGAGGGTGTGTAAAATGCAAGCACATGGCCGACCAGAGCCCAGCCCTGCCCCATGTGGCTCCTGTCCTGGGCATGGCAGGAGGTCAGGGTTTCCAGCCTGAGATTAGCCTGCCGTTCAGCAGTACCCAGACAGGCACAGCTACCAGGAAGGTGACCTCCCCAAGCCCACAGAGCCTGAAACCTCCACCCAGCCCAGCCTGAAACCTCCACCCAGGCGGCAGTGAGGCCTTCCTGCCTGTGTTCAGCCGTGGTGTATCGAGGAGCCCTGGCCAGACACAGATACCTGGCCTGGGGAGCTGGCGGTCTTACTGGGGACTGGGGAGACAGACTCCAAACAGAGGGGTAAACAAAGAAGATAATTACCAGCTTGGCAGAGATGATGAGAGCAAATTTTAAGTGACAGGTGGAGGATTACTTTAGATGGGATGGTCGGGGACACCTCTGGGAGACAGTGACATTGAGTGACAAGAAGGTGCCACCCTGGAGGACTCCGGGGTTCTCCACCTTTAAGAAGGATCATGAGCAGAAGCCCAAAAGCTTCAGGTTCTGCCACTTTCTACTACATGACTAGGCCCAGCCAGTTTGCAAAAGGGCTGGCCTGTCCTCACATTGCCAGCAAGGCCCAGACCATGTGAGGAGGGAAGAGCATCCTGTAATCTGCAAATACGGGATCAACTCTAAATTCTCTCCAGAGTTTCTTTCTTTAATATGTTGTCCAAAGGTAACTGTGTCAATTTTTACAAATATTTTTATGTAGCAGTTTTGGTTGTTTTTTGTTTGTTTGTTTGTTTCTTTTTGTTCTATTTGAGACAGGGTCTCGCTCTGTCACTCAGGCTGGAGTACAGTGGCACAAGCTCAGGTCACTGCAGCCTCCACCTCTCAGGCTCAAGTGATCCTCCCACCTCAGCCTCCTGAGTAGCCGGGACTACAGACGCCAAGCCCCACTAATTTTTTGTAGAGACGGAGTTTCGCCATGTTGCCCAGGCTGGACGCCAACTCCTAGGCTCAAGTGATCTGGTCCCCTCAGCCTCTCAAAGGTCTGGGATAACAGGTGTGAGTCACTGTGCCTGGCCTATGCAGCAGTTTTAGAAACAACAAGATTAAATAAGAAAGGGGCAGAGCTCAGACACCATGAGACTTTTCAGTCCAGTGTTTTCAGATCCTCTGGTTTCAACTTTATAATTTCACTTCAAAAATTTCAACTTCAAATTTCACTTCATTGCTTTCAAAATCTTGAGCCAGCTTGTCCTTTGGATCTGGGCTGTGCCTGTCTGCACTGGCAGATGGACAGAGCTCCTGTGTAGAGATGAAGCCAGTTCACCCACGGCTTTTTTTTTTTTTTTGAGATGGAGTTTTGCTCTTGTTGCCCAGGCTGGAGTGCAATGGCGCAATCTCGACTCACTGCAACCTCCGCCTCCCAGGTTCAAGCAATTCTCCTGCCTCAGCCTCCCGAGTGACTGGGATTACAGGCATGCACCATCACGCCCGGCAATTTTTTTTTTTTTTTTTTTTAGTAGAGACAAGGTTTCACCATGTTGGTCAGGCTGGTCTCAAACTCCTGACTTCAGGTGATCTGCCTGCCTCAGCCTCCCAAAGTGCTGGGATTACAGGCGTGAGCCACCGCGCTTAGCTGTCTTTTTTTTTTTTTTTTTTTTAGGCAAGCAGCTTTTTAATTTTCTTTGTGATCATAAAACCTACACCCACTGTATCAGCTGCTTGTTGCTGCTGTAACAAATTGCCACAAATGTAGTGGCTTAGAACAACACACATTTCTTTCTTTCTTTTTTAAGTCATTGAATATAAAACTCTTTCTATTTTCAGCTATTAATATTAAAATTATATCATTTTATATCCTGTATTAACAGATATATGCAGATTTACATTTCGTTCTTCAAATTCTATAGAATTTTAATTTTTTACTTTCATAGGTTATTGGGGAACACATTGTTTGGTTACATGAGTAAGTTCTTTAGTGGTGATTTGTGAGATTCTGATGCACCCATCACCCAAGCAGTAGACACTGCCCCCGATAAAACAACGCGCATTTCCTGTCTTCCATGTCGTTCTGGGAGTCAGAGGTCTAAAATGGGTCTCGTGGGGCAAAAGGCAAAGTGACGGCAGGGCAGTTCCTTCTGGAAGCACTAGGAAAGACGTCAAGCCTTGCCCTTTCCAGTTTCTCTGGGGTGTGCTTGGCTCATGGTCATATTCACAGCCAGCAGTGGCGTCACCCCGACCTCGCCACAGAGCGATCTCTGTGACACCTCCTTCTCTGCCTCTGACCCTCCTGTCTCCCTCTTTCACTTGTAAGAGTCTCCTGACTACATTGGTCTCACCTGGATAATCCAAGACACTCTCCCCGTCTGAAGATCCCTCATCAGACTGCATCTGCAAAGCCCCTTTTGCAGGTAAGTGACCGTCTTCACAGGTTCCAGAGATTAGGATGCAGACATCTTTGGGGACCATCGTTTCACTTACCATACTCACCATGGGGACAATTTCAGAAATACGAAGACTAAGATCATTCAATTCCACTATTTAGTGCTCATCTTCTCAGCATTTTGGCCTATTGCTTTCCAGCATTTTCCCATGCATATAGATTTTTTTTTCTTCTTTTTTAGACAGAGTCTCACTATGTCCCCAGGCTGTGGTGCAGTGGCATGATCTCAGCTCACTGCAACCTCTGCCTCCCGGGTTCAAGTGATTCTCCTGCCCCAGCCTCCCCACTAGCTAGGATTACAGGGGCCCACCACCATGCCCAGCTAATTTTTTGCATTTTTAGTAGAGACGGAGTTTCACCATGTTAGCCAGGATGGTCTTGATCTCCTGACCTCATGAGCCACCCGTCTCGGCCTCCCAAAGTGCTGGGATTTACAGGCATGAGCCACCGCACCCAGCCAAATATACATATTTAATGAAGTGAAATCATACTATCTATAACACTGTATGGATCTTTTCACTTAATATTCTCTTGTCGTTAAAACTCTTTCTAGACAACTTAGAGACAGTATAACCACCCCTCACATAGATGCACTGCAGACTGTTTAACCCATTCTCTATTGTCAATGATTTCAGTGGTTTCACATTGTCATACTACATACAATGGAATGGTTAATGCCAGCTCACAATTATTGAGCATTTATTATGCACCAATCATTTGACATGTATTAACTCATCTAATCCTCATGACAATCCTATGATATGGATACAATTATTACTGATACAGGTCCAGGTGAGAAATGAAGCCCTCTTCAGAAGATGAAGAAACTTGCCCAAGTTTGGGTGGTACTATAGCAAGCCTCGAACCAGGTCACCTGACTCCAGAATCCACACTCTTAGCCACTCACATGCTCATTTTTCCCCAGCATCTCTGATTATCTATCTTAGGATAGAATTAGGATAGGCAGAATGGCAGTTCATTGGGCTATATTTATTGAGGGCTTAGTTTGTGCATTTTCCATTGGCTCACTCAGTTAATCCTCATTATGCCAAGGAGTGGTCTGTTAACTGGCTGAAGCCACGCTGGTTGGCTCCAGTAGCTAGACTCTGCCTGGACCCTGTGTGTGGTAGCCAATCATTAGTGGTAGGGAGGGCTACGGCCTCTCCCTGACAAACTCACCTTGCCAGACGGTGCCCCCATGAATGCAAAGTGCAGTCAGATCCCACTATCAGAAACAGGTAACAAAGTGCAATTGGATCACACCATCAGAAACAGGTAACAAAGTGCAGTTGGATCACACCATCAGAAACAGGTGACAGCACAGTTGGATCACACCATACCCTACCAATACCCCTCAAAACTACCAAGAGCATGGAAAAAGAAAAGTTTAAGAAGCCCATGAAGACATAACTAAATATTAGGTGGTACAGAGTCCTGGATGGGAAAGGCACTGTATTAGTATGTCGTCATGCAGCTAATAAAGACATACCCGAGACTAGGCAATTTATAAAGAAAACAGGTTTAATTGACTCACAGTTCAGCATGGCTGGAGAGGCCTCAGGAAACTTACAATCATGGAGGAAGGGGAGGCAAACATGTCCTTCTTCACATGGCAGCAGGAAGAAGTGCCGAGTAAAAAGGGGGGAAAAAAAACCCTTATAAAACCATCAGATCTCATGAGAACTCACTATCATGAGAACAGCATGAGGGTAACCACCCCCATGATTCAATTACCTCCCACCGAGTCCCTCCCACAACATGTGGGGATTCGGGGAACTACAATTCAAGATGAGATTTGGGTGGGGACACAGCCAAACCATATCAGGCACATTCATTTGTATTATAAGCTGCTGACATCTAAATAAAGTCTGGAGTTTGGTTACTAGTAATGTACTGATGTCAGTTCCTTTGTTGGCACAAATGTACCAGGTAACATAAAGGGTTATATTAGGGGAAACTGAGAGAATTCTGTGTGTTACCTTTGCAACTTTTCAGTGAATCTAAAATTATCCCAAACTTAATAGTTTATTTTTTTTTTAAGTAAGGTCTAAGCCAACAAACACATGAGAAAATGTTCAACGTCATTACTCACTGGGGAAATGCAAGTCAAAACTCCAAGAGATACCACCTCACACCCACTAGAATGTCTATAATCAAAAAGACAGACAATAACAAATGTTTGTGAGGGCGTGGGGAAATTGGAACCCTCATACGTTGCTGGTGGGAATGTAAAATGGTACAGCCGCTTTGGAAAACGGTTTGGCAGTTTCTTAAAAAGTTAAACATAGAATTATCCAGAAATTCCTCTCTTAGTATGTACCCCAGAGAAAAGGAAATATATGTACAAATATAAAATACAAAGACTTCTCCGCAAATGTTTATAGCAGCTTTATTTGTAATAGCCAAAAACTGATCACAATCCAAATGTCCACCAACAGAGCAAAGGAGAAGCGAATTGTGATCTATTCCGTACGAGGGGCTTGGTGCCTGCAGCAACACGGGTGAATCTCCAGAGAGTGGTGACGAGTTGGAGGAGCCAGTCAAAAAGGAAAGTGCTGTGTGATTCCATTTATAGAAAACTCCAGAAAATGTGGACTAATCTACAGTGATGGAAAGCAGACCCATGATTGCCTGGGACAAGGAGCCTTGGGGGTGGAGGGGGGCCAGGGGGAGGAGTTTCAAAGGTGATGAGGACATTTTGAGGGTGATGGATGTGATCCCTATCTTAATTGTGGCCATGGCTTCATGGATAGATACAAATGTCAAAACATATTGAACTGTATACTTTAAATGCTTGCACTTTACTACATGCCAATCACATCTTCATAAAGCTGGGGTTTGTTTGTTTGTTTGTTTGTTTTGTTTTTGTTTTTCTCTGTGTGTTTTTTTAAAAAAGGCCTGGAAATGGAGATGAGGACAGCCTGGCCTCAGTCTCCCCACTTGCAATGTGGGGGATCCCCATGTGCCTTGCACCCCCTGAGAGCTCCAGGCTTAGGAGGAGACCAAGGTGAGCCCTGCTTCTAGCCAGAAACCCCGAGGCCCTAACCCCCAGGGCTGGATAGCTGCAGGGCCCAGGCTACTGCCCCTCCGGGGATGGACAGGTGCGAGGCCCCTCCAGAGGCGTGACCTGTTTCCGGCAGGCCGTGGCCGTGAGGAGAAGAGTGGGGAGGTCCCTTTCTTTTTTCTTCCTGATTAAAAAAATGCATGATGCTACATGTGCCTTGGGATTTTTCAACACAATTATCTAAAAATAGTGTGGGCCACCACAGCCTGATTCCTTTTTAGGAAGGATTTTGGGAGCCCAGCCTGTCCTGGCGACCAGCTCAGGAAGTGGAGGCTTGTCTGGGTGGGGCCGGAGCTGTGGCGACCCTTCCCTTGCTCTGGCCAGGCCCACCCCGTCTCCCAGTTCTCCGAGAGCCGGGCTGCCAGGAGTGCATGGTGGAGTGGCCAGTAGCTTCCTGGCTGGGCCCACAGCCCCGGTGAATTTCAGCCCTGCTGCTTGCACACTGCATGAATTCTCTGTGCCTCAGTTTCCTCAACGGAGAAGTAGAAGTCATTGATCACAGTCAACAAGGCCCAGCAGAGACAGGAAAGAGGCTACTGAGGGAGGGTTGATAGGTGCCCGCTTCCCAGCCGAGCCTCTGTTCTTGCAAAGTCAGGCGAACCGTCCGGGTGTCCTGGACAACTCTTGACACCTTCCTGCCCCACCCAGGCCTTGGGACCAGCAGGGTGAGACCCAAGGCCTGGCTTCCCAAGGCCAACAGTGACCAGCTCAGGTTGGCTCCACTGCTCACCCTCTGCTGACACATTCTGTCCCTGTGAGGAGATAAAGGTCAGACACTGCACGTGGACTCCTTTTTTTCTAGGGAGCATGGCGGGTTCTGGAGGCCCAGCACAGCTCCCTGTCCACCCTCAAGCAAAGGCCTTGGCCCACTGCCGTGGTGCCCCCAAACACCGCGTGGCCTGTGGCTGAGGCCTGGACCATCATGCCTGTGGGCAGGGGTCAGGACACATTTTCTGATCACCTACTGTGTGGCTGGTGCTCTTCTAAACCTGAAGGCCCAGTTCTTATCTCTGAGAGTCTGTGGTCCACGAAAGAAAAATCCAGCAACTCAAATAATTTCGAAATGACTCAGAACCTTGCATTTCTCTCTCTCTCTCTCTCTCTTTTTTTTTTTTTTTTTTTTTTTTTTGAGACAGAGTCTCACTCTGTCACCCAGGCTGGAGTGCAGTAACACAATCTTGGCTCACTGCAACCTCTGCCTCCTGGGTTCAAGTGATTATCCTGCCTCAGCCTCCTGAGTAGCTGGGATTACAGGTGTGTGCCACCACACTTGGCTAATTTCTGTATTTTTAGTAGAGTTGGGCTTTCACCATGTTGGTCAGGCCGGTCTCGAACTCCTGACCTTGTGATCCATCCGCCTCAGCTTCCCAAAGTGCTGGGATTACAGGTGTGAGTCTCCGTGCCCAAAAACTTTGAGGGAGCTATAAGCACCCAGCCCGTGGGCATCCCGCCCTTCTCTGCTCCGTGAGGCCATTGGTGACCAGCTCTGCGGAACCCATGGCCGGCCGCACCCAGACTGCAGGCTCAGGCGCGCACACCCAGGTGCCACACCTCCCTGGGAGCAGGGAGGGGTGGAGGGGGCTGGGCAGCCTCTCGTGGTGTTGTCAGGCCTGCCTCCCATGGGCTGCTGTTGCCCAGGCAACCACCACAGTCTCAGGGCCGGAAGCCAAAGGACCAGCTCCCCCCTCCCATGCTGTGGTGCCTGTGTGGGGCGGGGTCTCTCTTTGAGTGCTCTGGCCACAGCTCTTTTTACAGAGAGTAGGGGGAGGGCAGAGGGTGGCGTGGAGCACTGCTGTGGCTGCAAAAAGGGACAGGATTGAGTGGGGCCCAAAGAAGGCACTGGGGGCCAAAGAAGGCCAAGGAGGCACTCCCCCCAGGCACATCCAGCTCCCTAGAGAGATCTCAGGGGACAGGTGATGGGGTAGGTGTTCGGAGCACACTCCAGAGGCCAGGGAAGGACTGCAGCCAGGAGAAAGGGGAGGTGCCCAGGCCATGGCATGAGAAGGAGTCTCCCCTGTGGTCACCACCACGCCAGGCCAGGACCAGTGCCTGGAGGAAGCCACTCCTGACTGCAGCCCCCGCGGCTTCTCCTCCTACTACTCCTGGCTGGTTTTCCTGACCAGAGTCTCCCCTGGTGCTGTTCGCTCTTCTGCTCCTTTCAAATTGCCCTGAGTGGTCCCAGAATCCTCACAGACGCCTGCACTTGTCCTTCCACTCAGGCAGAGGGGCTTGAAACCCAGAGCTGGCGCTCTTCCCATAGCAACAGCAGAGGTGAAGAGTTTGCCCTTGACTTGCGTGGCCCACGGTGACGCACTGCTGTGAGTGCCTGAGTGTGTCCGCCCAGCCGAAGGCCCCCCCGCCTCTGTTTCTCCCACAGGGGTCTCGGCCCGAGCGCTCTGTGCTAGTGCGATTGCTGAGCCCGCCTCACTCAGCACAGTGCCGTGTTCAGCAGGCACCCACCGGGCACCAGGCACCCACCATGCACCAGGCACACTGCACAAGAAGCCTGGCAGGCGGTGCTCTGGACATCCTTCCCCCCAGCCCAGGCGTTCAGGGAGTGAGCAGAGAATGGAGGACTAGGTCAGCTTCTCTGTCCTCACTGGAGCCACAGCCATGGGTGCTGGAGTCAGGCACCGTCGGTTTCAAGTCCGGCTCGACTGTGTATCTGCAGCGTGACTTTCAGTCTGTCACTTGTCCTGTCTGTGCCCCACCTAACTCATCTGTAAATGAGGGTTAATAAAGGCACCTACCTCATTTATTAGTTTGTTGTAAAAATCAAATCTGACCATGTCTTGAAAGCCTCAAGTACAAAGTGTCTGGTGCAGTGAGCATCAGCTATTTGCTTTAGAGGGACGCGAGGCAGGAAGAAGCAGGGCCTGTGCCTTCTTGCCTGTGTTCCTCTTACAAGGGTCACATGACCATGGGAGTTCCCACTCTGGGCCTCAGTTTCCCCAGCTGGGGGCTGAGAAGGTGAGGCTCACCTTCTCAGAGCACACACTCCAGAGTCTCTGACTTCATGTCTCCTACAGGCCAGGACTGCTGGGGACGCAGGCAGAGCCAAGGGCATGCAGTTGCTGTGTGACGTTAGACAGATCACCCCTCCCGGGGCCTCTGCTTGGTCTCCTGTCCTGTAAGAGGCTCCAGCTGGTGCTGTTCCCTCCCAAACACCTTTGTGAGCTGTGGAAAACATCAGAGACCTCAGGAGGTCCTTCTAGCTGGGGCCTGCTACATGCCAGGTCTCCACGGCACCCAACCCTGCAAGGTCACGGCTCCCAAGAGGCTGGGCACTTGCTCGAGGCCTCAGCAAGAACAAAGCTGGTCTCTGCACCTCGGTCTGTTGGGCCCCAAGACCTTTGCTATAACCGTCTCCTTCTGCCTCAGCCCCTGGCCCCCACCCTACCTCCCAGCAAGTTCTCCCCCAAGTTCCTGGGTGAGAGCCAATGGCCCTGGCGTGTGACAGCGTTTGGCTTTGTCCCATCAGAAGAGCAATTTTTTCCTCTCCTTGGCTGTACTTTCTTTTAATGATTTTTTGGCTCAAGGCCCAAGCTGGATCAAAGACTCCCTGGGGGAGGACAGTAGGAAAGGACAGTGGGTTTGCTGTGAGAAAATCGTGGAGGTAAAGCTTGTGGCTTAGGGTCTGGAGGGGACAGATGGGCCCAGGAGGCGGGGCTGCCTCAGGCTCCAAATGGGGAAGGGGTGTGGAGCCTCTCCCTCTCTCACCACAGATGCAGAAGAGGAGGTGAGGACAAGGAGCACAGGGTGGAGAAAGGAGCCCTTTAGGGTGAAGCGAGAACAGGAGTTTCTCAGTGTGTTAGCTGTGACTGGACGACCTCGGGGCGCAAGCTTGAAGTCCCAGTGGACCCCTATCTTCAGAGAAGCCTGAAAGATCTGCTCAGACGAGGAAGGGGGTGAGGTTGGGGCAAGGAGCCTGGGACTGTCTCTAGGAGCTTCGGACTCCCTTCACTTTCCTTCTCTCTCACTCAGCACCGTCCCCTCCCCACCTGCCAGGCTGGACCCAACTGGGGAAGCCTGGAAAGTACCCCTCGACTTGGTGGGTCCTGGTCTCAAGGGAAAAGGAAACCCTCCTGAGAGCAGCTGCCCTCTAGCTGGGCCTCAAAGGTGGCAGGAGGGGAAAGGGCCAGGGCCTGGAAAACACACCTGCTGATGGCAGCCTGGAGCTAGCTCTGCAGGGCGGGGGGCCATGCAAGTGGTAAACAAGAGGGAGGTGGCTCACCCCTTGGGAACTGCTGCTGATGTTGTTTTGGAGAAGGGAGCAGGAGGCAGCCACTGTGGAGCGCCAGGGCCCTAGAGAGCCAGAGAGAGCCACTGCAACAGAGGCAGTCCTGCCGGAGCCCAGGAGTCTGGGAAAGCCAGTAAAGATTAGGGTGAGGGAGGCCCAACTGCACCTCTGAGGGCTAAGGAGAGACCCTCCCTCTAGACAGAGTCATCAGGGTTTGTCCAGAATGCCTTGGGTTTCATACGCACTGACCTAAGTGACTTTGCATGTGCACACATCCTGCACACAGACCCCTGCACACATGTTCACATGCACTCCTGCACACATGTACACACTCCCTGCACACAGACCCCGGCACACACACTCCTGCACATATACACACTCACACACAGCTCTGCAGGCACAGGTTCTGTGTGAGGCCACATGGTTCAAGTCTTAGCATCACCACTTCTTGGCTCTAAATGTGGGCATTTCACTTACACTGTCTAAGCCTCAGTTTCCCCATCTGTCAGGTGGAGCAAGTATTCT